ATTGTGTCAAACTATGGCCTGGATACTTCAGCGTCATGGGTCCGTTCACGAAAAAGTTGGTGAACCATTGTTCTTAGTTAACGTTTTGATTGGCCAGTTTTCGTCCAAGTTGGTTCAAGTGGTCGCACTGTGTAGTAACCGTTACCATTTTTATTGGCCTTGAGCATAAAAGATAAACTGTCCTAATACAAATTTATTTAATTTCGAGAACTAAAAGTGGCGCACAACCTTTTGTTTGATCGACCTGGCAACGCGTCTGTTAAATTCATGAGAAGCGGATGATCTGATCACGTAGTTCTTAATTAAATTTCGATGATCTTTTGAAGAGGATTCACTTCCAAGATGGACTCTCTAGCAGCTCTGTCGCGATTGATGTCTGGGCAGCTTCATTGATTCAAAGTGTAGGGGAACCCTTGTTTACAATATTTTCCTCATTAGCATAAGTGCCTCTCAGTTTCTGATCTAGCTACAAAAGTATCCGTTCTAACAGTTGAAAGGGCACAGCACAATTAACTGTTCCAAGGAATTTGAGCCTCATGTATGTCCTACTTGTTGTTCGCCGCGAGTTTTAAAAATTCAAAATTTTACAAAGAATGTGTGAGCTCATTAGCGCTTTCGCCACCCAGACATTTCCTAGGCTTTGAAAGCTTTTTTCTCCTTGAGTATTACAACCAGAGAACCACAAATTTTACCAATTACTAAGTTTTTAAAGTTCTTTAAATGTTTGTTGTCATTTCGTATCTAGCACGATGCCTTCTCTGCCCAAAGTCGTATATTAATGAGGAGAAATGTAGACGATGGATCAGCAAAGATTCGCCTATTAATAGGCCCTTTGCACGATCCGGTCACATGGTACGGAATTAATTATGCTGGGACGCACGTTACACAATGGGACTTCCAAAACAAAGGAACTCGTACCAGTCCAGCCCGACTTTCCTTTGTTTTGAAAGTCCCACTACATCGTTGCCGTAACTTGCTTCCCAGCATAATTAATTCCGTACCATGTGACCGGATTGTGCAAAGGGCCTATTCAACCATCGGCAACGATGAAGTTTCGCTTGAGCTCTATAACTGAACAAGTGACAGTGACTGTCTGATGAGCTTCAAGTTGGGACGGCGCTTTTCGTGATTGGCTTGCGAAGACGCTGGCGGGTGTTCAACATAACCAAAGCTTTCAGAGTCACCCCAGGCTCTCTCTTCTTATAGTCCAAGAACTGTCATTGGACGTTAGGTCGTTCGCAGGTCCTAGCACGGCTATCGAGTTGGGAACGTCTTGGGAGGCCAGGTACCTAAACAAAAAACACGTATCGTCATCGAAAAGTAAAGGCTCAAGGTGGAAACGAATCAAAATAGAAGATACTCACGTGCGAGCGACGTGAATGATGTCATCCCTAGTCACGCTGAATAACCCATCTCTGTTGGTTTGGCGCATGTCATCTGTCACGCCTTGAGTGAAGTAGCTCATACCACGGTTACTTGGTGAAATTGGTTTGTCAACCTAGGAAAAGACATCAGCAACATGCAGAAGATCAGTCAATCATTAACATTTTTAAGGCATGGTCTAACTGAAGCGCGCAGTCAACAACAGTTAACTCCAACAACTAACTTCAGTTACCGTTTAGAGGCGGTGGCCTCATGATTAGTGCTCTCGTCTCCGGATCGAGCGGTCCGGGTTCGAGTCCTGGCCGGGGACATTGTGTTGTGTTCTTGGGCAAGACACTTGACTTTCGCAGTGCCTCTCTCCACCCAAGTGTATAAATGGGTACCGGCGAATTTAACGCTGGTGGTAACCCTGCGATGGACTAGCATCCCATCCGGGGAGGACTAGAAACACTTCTAGTCGCTTCATGCTACCGAAACCGGAGATAAGTGCCAGCCTGACGGGCCTCCTGGCCTAAGCAGAACTTTACCTTAACCTAACTATCGTCTAGCATGGAGCAACTTGGTGTATTGCTGCTCTCCTTGGATGGGACGCTTGCCCATCGTAGGTTTACCCCTCCCCTGCAGGTTCCTTAACAGTTAGTTTTTACCCACTAATTATATTCTCGTATAGAGAAAGAGGACACTTGCTGTTGACAGTCAAGTGTCTGGCCCAAGAACACAACTCGAGACCCCGACCCGCACTGCTTGCTCCGGATTCCAGTGCGCTAACACCATTGCCATACAACAGAGTGTTTCATAATTAGGAATTAGGAGGTGCGGGATATTCACGGGAACATTTTCTGGCGAGAAATTTAAAACTTGTCCTGTCTATCCACTTCCACAGGTGGAAGGTTTTGATTCCGGAAATAAAAATTTGTATATAATATATATAATATATAATATAATACTAGTTTGAGCACTCTGGCATGGCTTAGAGGATACCACAAGGGTGGGATCGTTTGGGGAGACCATATGGCTTCTCCTCCATCCTAGCGTCAGCACTGCACTGATGAGGCCCAGAAGGCCGAAACAGTACCGTCTGCAGTTAGTTATATAATATTTATATATATTGAGACCATGAGAAGAAACGGGTGATATCGATTCGTTGTCATGGATTAATTTTGCTCCTTATTTCACAAGACAGAGTGAAAGGTTGCAGTTTATTTAAATTTAGCACCTAAGACTTACCTCTGCAAAGACGGATAGTTTAGCTTCTTCGATGTCTTGATCTGAAAACTTCCCGTCAAGCGCCCACTGGACGGAGTTCTCAAACGCTGAAAGCGTACCCTCGAAATTAGGATCTCTGAAAAAAATCATGAAAGATCTAACTGTCACTGATGACCTAAGTGAAATTTAGAACCAACTTATTATTCAACTTGCTTTGTAATCATTCAACTGAAGATGACAGAAGTTCTGTCCAAACATGTCTTGTAAACTTAAAAAATTGGTCGTTTTCCTTAAAAATTTTCTCAGACTTATTAATAGTTCTTTAAGTTCTAAACAATTGAAATCGTTACGGTGACGCTGTTTAGATATCTTAGATTTTTACGTATTTCTTTCTCCGTTTTCATCCTAGTTTTAGTTTTGATTGAGACGATATCTCTAAAACGGGATACCGTCTTTTACTACCTTTCCAAACATCTCGAAGTTCTTCAAAAATACTCGGCCCTACGTCGTATCACCTCTCTTCTCGGTCTATGGAAATGTGGTATAACACGGCCTCTCCTTGGGAGAATCAAGCTTTAATTTAAGTCGAGAATGTTTACTAAGATGATAAGGTTCTTCATTCTTATCACCAGCTTTTTTTACCTGTAAGAGAAAAAGGAGAAAATGCCACCTCCAATCTTCGCACCGCTGCCATATGCTCCGCCCTTTTCCCTGCAACGAAAATATTTTCTTTCAACGAAAAGGAACAAACGAAACGGAGAAGGCAAAAGCGCAAGGAACGCGAAAACGAAAAACGAACGACGGAACGACTTCAAGGAAAACTTTCACGCACGTACGCATGTAAACACGCACACATGCACGTACACACGAACGAGCGAACGAACGAACGAACGAACGACCGAGCGAGCGAGCGAACGAACGAACGAACGAACGAAAGCATGCTTTCATGGTAGATCGTCCACATATCTGCTGATTAAACTAGCAAAAAACCCTTTAACGCGTTTCTTGTGAGGTTAGAATAGGTTTAGTTTAAGGTTCAATAATAGTCAACAAGCAAGAGCCTCTTCTGACACATTTCCACAAATTGTTGTTAGTTTTAAGAAAGGCGGTAGAGCAAATCTCCTCTTTTGAAGTGCTATTGCACAAATTTTGTGAATTGCAGAATTCTCCCCCCCCCAAAACGATTAACATGTATTAAGCAAGAAGGCTTGAACAATTCTCGATTTTTAAAGAGTCTTTAAAGGAGCTACGCCACAGTTTGCGCTTCTTGAAACGTTAAGCTTAAATTTTTCACTTCATCGTTTGCAATCCGTGTCAATCTTTTCCATCCTTAACCATCCTTGTTCCTTTATGGTTTACTATTGTCTCTCTTGTGTTTTTCTATCTAAGTAATCTGCCATTTTTCAGTAGGTTTCTTTAAAATTTGCACGTGGCCAAAATAACTCAAAATACCGTGAGTGAGCTCCTTTAAACACTGCTTGTTTACCTCAATGACATGTTTTTCTAATCGTACCTTATTTCGCGGTGTAGAAACTTCGCAGAAAGCAGTTTGGCTAAAATTCTCAATCTAAAAACAGAAAAAGACGCAAAATTAACAGCTACAATGACAAAAGCAAATAATTTGGGCGTTTAGCATGAACGAAAGATCGTAAAAGGGCAACGTGAAGAGAACTTGTTAGAATGCCAATCTTGCGTTAAGCATTGCTATTGTATCGCATGTTTCCTGTTTATCAGTTTGTTACAAGCGAGTCGCAAAACAAATGACGAACACAATATATCATACAATAAACCATCTTCAGTGATAACAGGCAAGGTTGCTCAGCGAAACGCATTTTACGAGCCACGATTAACACAATTTTCCGCTTCATAAATAACTTATGCATTTTACTTTATCTTATTTTACTACTACCTTAAAAAATTGCCGAAAATACTCGCGTAATTCTGAATTAATGGTCGGTTATGATCTTTTAAAACTCGTCAAATTACATTCTTCTATGGGCTCGCGCAATTTCAAATCCGATTCTATTTAGGTTCAAGACTTACTTAGGGAAGTCCTCGTGAGTATAAGGCACTATAGGGAGGCACCTGCTGATGTAATTGACTGGGAAAGGCATCTCATAATGGGTCTTTAACCCACTCGGCTGATAGTCTGGGCTCTAACAACAGAAAAGTTTGATAAGCTCAAAGCCAACACTTCAATCGTCACATAACGCTTCCGAGAGGCGCGTTATGTGACCACCCAAAGTCACAAAAGTACACTCCGAAGAAGTATTTTTTACTTTTAAGAGAAAAGCACATCCAGAGTTACACTAACCGAACCACATCCGTAGGCCACGTTGCGAGAGGCAGGCGATAGACTCTCCTTGTTCAAGTCAAAGTCCAATAATCTGTTTAAATGTTGTGTTTTATATGTAGTGGTCAATGCGTTTAGTTACAAGAGAATCTGTCCTTGATTTACGTTGGACTCACGAAATGAAAACCAAACCCTAAATGTATGGTGATAGGGACATGCACTTAGCTTCAACTGAAGTTAATTTATCGGTAAGTCACTTAGAGAAAGAAAAGAAATACTTTCACATAAATATAACATAAACAACAGACTCAACTGACTAACAAAACTAGACCGATCGAGGAGAAGAAGGTGGAAGCCACAAGATAGAGGGCTTAAACCTAGATGTTCGCAGTACAAGACCAACAATTCTGAGCCATTTTTTCACTCAATAGTCTTGTCCGGTTTTAAACATATCTACATCTGAAGTGCATCCTAACATTTCTCGTATCGTTTAATCGTTTGACAACATTATTTTCTTAATACTATAGTCCATTTTAAAGCCAGCTCGAATATGAAAGAATCGCCTGAAGTGCAACACCTTGCCCTAGTTTACGATGTGCGATAATACCTTAACATGGGATGACTCTTCGTATATGCTGCTTGGGAGCGAATCGCAGAAGCCTTCTAAAGCCTTTTGCATGGTCTCTCGACTTTCAGCTGTTGTGTTAACAGCACACCTGCAATGAAATCCCGGTCAGCAAAAAGGACACAAGAGAACCATTAGTGTTGCCCGCCAACGGGGGCGCACAAACAAACTCACCAGACCCGATGTAAAACCGAATTTGGGAACATTTCGCCAGCAGAATTGTCAAGGGGTTAAACGACCAGTTTTCAGATATCACAAAATTAATATTACCTATAGTCAAGAAAGCGAGACAAGGCAGTTAGACCAAAACAATAACAACAACAACAACAACAACAACAACAAACGACCAAAAGGTATTTTACCTGAACTGGGTCCCCTCCAACACATTAACTGCTATAGTGCCAAATTTTTTGATAACTGGAGTCAAGTCTTCCAATTCAGCAATATTTTTCATAAACAGGACCTAAAACGAGATGGAAAATGCCACTTGAGTGTACACGATGGTGGCTAAGCGAAAAAAAAAAACGAACTTTGGAGGCGCGGTGTTCCCGAGGTTAATGCGCTTAACACAGGATCGCGCAGTCCGGGTTCGAGCCCTGGTTAGGGTCATTGTGTTGTGTTCTTGGGCAAGACACTTGACTCACAAAGCCTCTCTCCATCCAGGAGTGAAACTGGGTAACGGCGAATTTAATCCTAGGGGTAATTCTGCGATGGACTAGCATCCCATCCAGGGGTAGTAGAAATACTCCTAGTTACTTCATGCTACAGAAATGTGGGATAAGCGCCGGCCTAATGAGCCCCTTGGCTCGTATGCAGACTTTTATCCAAAAAAATAAAAAATAGGTATCTAGTTAATCTAATAATCCCTCACTTCTTTTCTCATTCTTTTCCCACTTTTCTTTTTTAATTTTATTCACTTTTTCGTAACTTTCTATTTTTCTATTTATTATTTCAAGAAAACATTTGTAACTATTGATAAACTCGCCCCCCTAGACTAGCACTAGCTATGCGCAGGCCAGTCCAACTGTAAAGTGTAACTCTTAAAGAAATAAGATGATTGATTGATTGATCCAGTAACTCACGGAACAAGAGCGTCTTAAAGCTACATCTAACTCAACTTGACAACATTTGGATTTCAAAATGTTTGCCTGTGGGAGTATTCGTGTGGGCAATACCTGAGAGAGTCCACCAAACTGCTCACTGAGATGCGCCGCGGGAGACAGGGAACTGGCCGCCAGTGCCATCGCGAATAAGTGTCCCGAGTGGGAGACAGACATCGCTAGCTCTGAAGCGAGCATGTTGATGAGCGTGCGCAGACGCTCGGTGTCGTTCAGTGTAGGTCTGCAATACGTGTTTAACAAAGTTAATACTGTTTGCTTCCACCCTCCGAGGGAGACTGACGTAAGAATGCTCTAATTGAAGGTACCTACCTGGCAAATATTTCTCCCCACAAGTAGAACATGTGAGGAAGATTCTTGTCGAGACAGTGAGAGGAAAATTCAAGACCCTGAAAAAACAGAAACTCATCTTTAGATATCAACAATGGTTTGGTTTTGTTTAAGGTTTAATTTCAACTCGTTTAGGTTTTCCAAACTGGCAAACCGTTATCTAGGAGTATCTTAAGATCGCGAATATAAGATACTAAGATTGCGCGACTTGCGATTGTGCAGTCATCTCCATATCCTTAATTATCCTTCACATCTGTCCCCCAAATATCACGGTTATTGTTTTCTATTGTTCAGCGAGCCAGTAGTGTGGTTTGTAAGAAGAAAAAAACCACCCTCACCCCTTGCAGGGTAACGTAAGAACCCTGCTCTACCCTTACTATCCTTGGATGGATTGGTAGTAGCATTCTACCCCTCTCCACATGTTGAGTTGTCATCACCCCACCCTCACCTGTTCAAACGCGTTCATGCTACTGTGGTGGGTAGAGATGTGTGTTGATAGTGCCATGCCAGCTGTTCGCATCTCCATCATTTGGGACAACTCGCGATAATTCAGGTTACCGGCGCCCATTCTACAACACGACACATAGACGTTTTAGAGTACGACATTGCAATAACTTTGCGTTGGCTGGTCCAAATAGACACGCAGGTTGACCGGTGGCAGGGCTGCTTCTTTAAATTGAGTCGCACTAGGGTAAGGAGTAAGAACCTAACTGATCTCAATCAGGCGAGAAAGGTTAGGGAGATATATCGAACACTCAGAATACATAGTAAATGGCTTGAACCCAGGAGTATCAGTAGTTCGTATAGTGTGATCGTCCGGGTGAGGGTAGTTCTGAAAAGAACTGTTGTTGGTGACTGAGGTTT